CACCTACCCACCAACCAGAAGGACTTAGTCTTTCTCGTCTTCCTATAGTCTCTGACTCGTATAAGACGTTAAAATGAATCAATCAATCAATCAATCAAGACGCCTACTGGCTTACAATGACGCGCAGCCAGCAAAGAATCGGCCATATCCTTCACAGCAGCGAGCCTGGGGGAAAACCCTCGCGAATCTAGCTCAAATATGTGTCTTACAATGACCTCCTCTTCTGTCACAGTAAGCCTCGTAACCGTAGGCCTGCAATCGCGTCGTGGTGCTTTCCCAGCGCGTCGAGCGCTTAGGGTACTTCGGGAAACATTGTAGAGTTTGGCAGCGCGTCGAACAGTTAAAGACGCGTCTTTTTGCATAGCCTGAAGAGTAAGCTGTATTTGAGCTTCGTTTGAGGCCGATTTCGCATGTTTAGGTGAATTCATTGTGGTTTGAAGTGATAGTGTTGTGATTTTGGTGGGGTCTTGGCAAAGGTGGCCAGCTCACCCGTGTGGCCAGCTCACCCGTGAAGTACGTTATTAATAAATAGTTAATAGATATATACGCAGTTACCTAATCTAAGACACTCTTTAAGTAAGCTTAGCGTAATCAAGCTAATAGATATAAATATACTAGCTATTGCGCGCTCTTTAATACTTAGCTAATATTAAAAGAATATAAAAGAAGCAAGTCTATTAAATAATATGCACTTAACTTACTTAGATCTTAGATTAATCTAGACGTTTTCTATAAAGCCACGTAATAGCTTCTAGAAAAAGGCCTAGCTAGGTAGATCTAGAAGTAATAGAGCTATATCTACTTCTACCTAGGAAAGCCTTACTAGAGGCTAATAATTCTAGGAATACTACTACTTTAGCTAACTAAGTAGAGAATAAAGTAGGCCTCTCTAGTATAAGGCCTTTCTTGAACCCTATTAAACCTTAACTAGAGCCAACTAACTGCCTGCTAGATTATTTCTTTAATAAACCTAACACCTTTAGCCTAATTAGCCGCGTTACAAGAGTAGCTAATAATAGTTACCCTAGCACTAAAGAACCTAGACTATACTAAGCCTTAGCAAGGTTACGTAACCTAGAGTATAGTTACTCTAGCTCGTGCCTCTATATATAAAGCGCGTAGGCTGTATCCTTTATACTATATACTCTATCTTTTATCTACTAGAGAGTAATACAGCTATTACTTAGATCTCTCTCCTTAGTACTATTATAGTTTTAACTAAACAGCAAAGGATTTCTAATAAGAAGGTAAGGGAAACCTTACTAGATTTAAGTAAAACTATAAGAGAATCTAAAGTAAAGCCTTTAACTACCTTACTATAGCCTAAATAAGTATAAAAATATAGTACGACAACGAGTATACCCCTATACAATTTATAGTTAGAGACTAAGTGTATATCGAGTTAACTTAAGGATGTTATTCCTTGGTAGGAATTTTATAAAAGCTTAGTCCCTAGCAAATTAGCCCTTTTACTATTTTAAGGGTAGTAAGCCTACTTGCGTACAAACTAGATTTGCCGAAAGATCATTATAGAGTTTACCCTATTATCTCTGTAATACACCTTAAGCTAAAAACACTAGGGGATAACCTATACTAACGCATAGATAAAGAGATATTACGCCTAAACGTATTGTTTAACAACTAATTTATAGTAGAGAAATTGATTAACAAGAAGATACAATAGGTTAAGAAATAGTAAATAAAGGGACGTCTATATCTTGCCCCTTAAGGGTTAACGTGTTTCCTATGCGAGCTGGCACCCCTAAGCGAGCT